GGGGGGGGGGGGGGGATAACATATAACCCTGAAAGAGACATTTTGCTTAATGAAAAAAAGAAAAGATACTTTTTAACTCTATATCCCTTAGTAAAAATACCTTTTTAAAACAACTGTCTCTCCCGGTTTTGAAAATGGTAAGCACTTGTCATCTATTTCTCCCTTCAGTTGTATCAATGTTTGTGTGCATATATATTGGTAATTGTTATATCTTTCTACTGAATTGATTCTTTTATCATTATACTAGAGGCCTGGTGCACGAAATTGTGGGGGGGGGGCCCTCGGCCTGGCCAGCGATTGGGGCCAATCGGGGCCAATCGGGGCGATCTCGCCCAGTCCTAATTGGGTTGACCAGGGCCTGCTGGCTGGGGGAAGGGACCACAGGAGGTTGGCCAGCCGTGGGAGGTTGGCTGTGGAAGCGCACTGACCACCAGGGGCAGCTCCTGTGTTGAGCGTCTGCCCCCTGGTGGTCCGTGCAGGTCATAGCTACCGGCCAGCCATCCAGTTGTCTAGTCATAATGGTCACTTAGGCTTTTATATATATAGATAATATTATTCTTTGTCTCTTTTGACAGTTTTTCATTTTAATCCAGGATCATTTCTGTCTACAGGCAGCCTCTGCTCCAGCCATACATCTTGTATTGGCTTACCACCACTCTGCTGCTCTGCTCCTGTGGTTCCTTTCCTACACTCCAAATGCCCTCCCCTTTAAAGATTTTGCCCTCTTTCAAGGTTCATCATATATGCCAGCCCCTGCAGGGACCCTTTCCGTTTGCCTCATCCAGAGAACTCCTCTATCCTGAGAAACACCTAATGCTTTAGCTGAACCATTCTTATGTCATTCATCCTTATAATTATTTAAGCATCTATTTTATGAAATCATAAGCACCCTGACAGCAAGAACTAAGTATGTGATACTGAGCAATAGTCAACTGTGAATAGCCAACTGGGAACTTCCATGGAGGTATTCATTTCATTCACTGAATTGAATTGAGAGAGGCAGAAAGAGGTTGTCCTCTACTTGATCCTATAAGGTGCCTTCTACTCACATCCCTCCACTAACCTCTATTTAGGACTTGCTGCCCCAGCTGAAGGGTTCAAGTAAAAGTAAACCCTTCGCCTTGAACACTCTTCAACAACATCAATAGGTTTGGGACCTGCCATTCAGAGTAACCAGTCACAACATCCTGTGAGGACCACAGAGAGAAGGCAATAATACCTTGCCTTCGGGATCCACCAGAAGAAGATGCTTTGCCTGGCCTCCCTGGAGTCCACTCAGCACATACTGGCCAGGAGAGGTGGCACTCTCTCGAACCAGAAAGTCCCCGTCCTTCACCAAGAGGTTCTCCGCTGCCTTCCTGCTCAGCTTGCCGTGGTAGCAGTCTTCACTCCGCAGCTGCTGCTGAATGTACGGCAGAGCCTGGGAGCCGGCACGCTGGGCCGTGGCACCTGGCTGAACAGTTTCGGGGGCCTCTGAAGTCAAAATACAAAAGGAGACATCACCGAGTTAACTCCCCATCCATCCACTTATTCAATCATTCACTCATTCAGCAAATACAACTTGAGCCCCTACTACGTGCCAGGCGCTACTTGAACAATGCTGTTCCTGGAACAAATGAGGGTTTTGTTCTGGGAACTTCCAACAGGCTCTAATTGAATGGTAGATCCAAACACTGCCTTTGGCTTCTGTTGCCAAGAGAGGCTTGCCCGGGTGCAGGAGTTTTTCCTTCCGATGAGAAATGGAACTGACCCACGAGAACTGCTTTTAGAGCTGCCGCAAGAGGCTTGTTATGTCCCAGGGGCTGTCTGTCAAAGACAGTGGTCGGCAAACTGCGGCTCGTGAGCCACATGCGGCTCTTTGTCCCCTTGAGTGTGGCCACAATGTTTCAATCGCACTGTACGTGCGCGCCCGCACCTGGTATTTTGTGGAAGAGCCACATTCAAGGGGCCACAGTTTGCCAACCACTGGTCAAAGAGAAAGAGGCTTATGCTGTGTCTGGATTACAGATAACTTCTAAGATTTTTCCAAACTCTTTGAAAATGCCTATGGTAACTTGGCCAATGCCATTTTTTTTTAGCATTTATCTTTAAGAAAACACACAACAAATTACCAATGTGCTTCGGAGATGCTTCTAACCAAATACTTCAAAGCTGTACTGAACCTCAGAGTATTCCTATTCAATGCCTACTCTGTTTGTGTCATTCACTGGCCTGGACAAAACAGAGTCAGTCGGGTAAAAGAAGGCAGAACATCAGGGAGGCATGGCCTGAGAGAGCGCCCCAAGCCTCTGCAGAGTAAGTCCTATTTAGAGTCAAGAGCACTGGGATGACAAGGCACCTCCAGGCAGCACTTAATAATACCACTGATACTCTTAATGATAACAATTTCTGTGTAGTTCCATTTACCGAGTATGACAGGCACTGCTCATGCTTTATGTACTACTATACTACTTGGTTTCACTCTCAAAATTAGGTAGGCAAGGCAATGGATCTTTACAAAGGTCAGATGACTTGTGCAAAGTCACACTGCTAATATGGTGCAGGTCTGAGATTTGAAACAAGGTCTGACTCCAAAGCCCAGGTTATTCATCACCACACTCTAAGGCAGTGGTTCTCAACCTTGGCTGCACATTAGAATCACCTGGGAATCTTTTTAAAATCCTGATTTCTGGGCCTCATCCTCCGGAAGTTCTGTTTCTTTGTTATGGGGTGGGGCCACAACGTTAGTAACAAAGAAACAGAATTTCCGGAGGATGAGGCCCAGAAATCAGGATTTTAAAAAGATTCCCAGGTGATTCTAATGTGCAACCAAGGTTGAGAACCACTGCTCTAAGGTGACTGACTCCTTGCCTTGGATGGGAAAATCTCTCCATTTCACTATCCACTCAACTCCTGTCGTGCCCACAAGGATCCTTAGAAGATAACAAGGCTGTAAGGATGATATACAGCATCTCCAGAAGGAATAACATAAAATTCTTAGGTCTGAATCCAGGTAAAAGTCATACAATTCCTTATGGCAAATTTACCAGGAAAATAACCATAGAAATCGGGCTTTGTCTTTAAATGTAAAGGACGTTTTGCATAGAAACCAGCTTTCACCTTTATAAATGCAAAGGGGGTGTTCACATGTCCTTATGCAAGGGTCTCACAGGAAAAAGCCTCTGGCTTCTGAGATTTAGAACTTACACAAGACAATCCTATGAAGTCACTGATGTAGGAAATCAGTGCCCTGTAGGCACAATCCAGTTCTCCTGTTAATATGTTATAGCTTTGCCCCTGCTTAAGAACTTCTCTACGTAACACAATTATAATGCAGCACTATTTTAAAAATATCTTTAGTCTGTATCTAGTGTCTATAAATATTCGCCTCTGTTGTTGCTGGGGGAAGCCTGAAGTAATGTGTCTAGATTTGATAATACTTGTAGTTGGGCTTAGTGCTGCCTGCTTGGGGCATAACAGGGAACTTCTGATGAGTAGCTGTGTGTGTGTGTTTATGTTTGTGAAAAAGTGTTTGTGCAAGCGTGGGGGAGGAGCATGCATGTGTGTGGCACACACATCTTGGTGCATGGTGGTTTTGGTTTCTTCTGAGAGTATGGTGGAGAGCTTTTGGACAAGGACACAACAAAAGAAAAGGAGACATTATATCATTGTGAAAAGAGGCAACAGATCATGGGCCAGCCAGAGGGTCTGGACAATATTTTCCCAACTCAGTTTCTCACAAGATACACTGTGCTAGGAGATTCCAGTCATCCAAACATTTGCTGAAAATCTAATTCTACTGAAAGAGAAAATCTCACAGACTTTTGTAAATTTTAGTTTTGATTTTAAAAGTTACCCAGGCTAGTTCTTTTAAATCTTAGAAAAACAAAGAAGATGAATCACCTCTGGCCCTATCACCAAATACAACCACTCTTAACATGGTGGTGCATTATCTATTATCTTGACCCTTCCCTCACATAAAGTTAACTTTGAGAAAGATAATCATAATTTCAATATAGTTTTTTATATGTAATTCCCACACAATATTTAATAAATTATTGACTTGATATATGTTCCCAGAAGTAGTGAGGGTTAAAGAAGCAACAAGGAAAGCCACTCTAGACTTAACTGAGACCAAAAAAGAAAAAAGGTGATAGGAATCCTGGAAGAAAGTCATCACATCATCTTGGAGTTCCCAATAGTAACTGGAGACATATTGTTCACAATCAAAACTTCAGGAAAGCACACGATAGATGTGAATTTCCACACTCACATGTAGCTGATGGGCAAACCTCTGAAAAGGGAAATAGAGCTTAAGAAAGAAAAGTCTAACATGCAAAGTCTAGAATTAGCAATTGCAAGTAATGTCGATGAGAAAGGTGGGATGAGACCTTTAAAGAAACGAAACTAATGCGAACTGTGAAGACAGCATCCTGATGCAGTCAGCTTTTAAAAGCACACGTAAAAGGATGTTTTGATAATGTTGACTATTATCAAAGGACTGGAAAAAAAACTGTTTACAGAATTAAAAATGTATACAAAAGTCAGGATATTGGATAGCAACGTAACTAAAGGTAAACTAGAAGAGGGATATAAAGGTGTGAGAAGCGTGTCCAGGTTGGGGACAATCCTCAGGTTTCTGCTGTGGGAGGAAAAGCCCACCCTTGTCTCCCCGTAAGTGTTATAATGACTCCATCTCTGACTCAGGAGGACGCTAAGAAATGAATTCTCTCCATTCGGGTAGCTGTATTTTATAAAGTTGCCATGAACACCGAATTAGTGAAAAGTGAGCCATTGTCCCTGGGGGTCATGCAGGGGTAAGTTCCTCCAGGCCTCAGGTCACCACATGTTCATTAGTCATACAACACCTTGCTTTATGTGTGCTTCTGTTTAAAGACACCTTCCATAGTATATATTTTTGATTCCTTAACGCATGGCCAACAGCCTGAATGAAGCTTATCTAACACATATTTTCTTGGTAAGGCACATCACAGCTTCTTGAGCTTAGGAATGCTTGACAGAACTTCAACACTACACTTACAGGCCATTTGAAACAGCAAAGCCACAGAGAAATATCACAAACTGTGAAAAGCATGACACCGTGTAGACAGGAAAAGGACACTTGCTTACAAGATGAAAGCTGAAGCAAGAAGGCAGAGCACTGCCTTGTTCCACCTCAGCTGGGAATGTGCACGTTGGGAAACTCTAATTTTTCATTGCTCTGCACACGCCTGCAAATGGCCACAAAAGTGCCATGAGTGTTGATCTGGGGGTATGGATACATTTTAGTGAGTGAGCAAATTCTCAAATACAGGATCCATGAATAATGAGAATCAACTGTATATTATTTATTAGTATGGATTACTGGGCATCTGAAAATTATAAAATAGGGACTTATTTGCATTTTGAGGGGAAAATATGTTCACTCTATAAGATGTCTAAAAGTTGCTAGTAAAATATGTTAACATAAAATGTTAAGCATATATGAAGGGCTGAAATACTACCCAGAGAAAACTTATCTGTAATATAAAGGAAAATGCACATGTCTATTCTATATAATAAAAGAGAAACATGTAAATTGACAGTCCCTCTGCTATGTTCACCAGCCAATCAGGAGTATGCAAATTAACACAACAAAGATGGTGGGTTAATTTGTATACATAGGCACCGGGCGGAGAGCAGAGTGGGAGAGCTGGCGGCTTGGAGGACTTGGCAGAGTGGGAGGCCATGGGACAGAGACAGAGTGGGAAGGGAAAACCAAGAGCGCAGGGAGCACCAGGAATTCTGGGAATAGTAGTTTTGGTGGCAGCCCCAGGACCAGAAGCAAAAGCACAGAGTGCGGGGAGCACCAGGAATGCTGGGAATTGTAGTTCTGGTGGCAGATGGATCTCCTAGACACTAGAGCAGCGGTTCTCAACCTGTGAGTCGTGACCCCTTTGGGGGTCAAACAACCCTTTCACAGGAGTCACCTAAGACCATCAGAAAACACATATATAATTACATATTGTTTTTGTGATAAATCACTATGCTTTAATTATGTTCAATATGTAACACAGAGTGACTAGGAAAAATTAAAGGGAAGATATCCTAAAACTCCCAGGAAATCTCCACCAATGAAGCAAAGAAAAAAAAATGCCTCTATTATTCTGTGGGCAACAAACCAAACTGGGTTGGGGGTCTCAGACAATTCGCTCATATGATTGCAAAGACAGAAACTCCTGGATTAGAGAGGGCTCCCCTGAGGGCTCCCAGATTGGAGAGGGTGCAGGTCAGGCTGAGGGATCCACACTCCCCCACCCCCCCAGTGCACAAATGTCATGCACCGGGCCCCTAGTTAAGATATATTATAAAGCCACAGAAATTAGTATATAGTAATTAATATACTGGTATAGAACAGACAAATAAGCTATCAGAAAAAGTATTCATGCCCTGACCGGTTTGGCTCAGTGGATGGAGTGTCGGCCTGCGGACTCAGGGGCCCCAGGTTCGGTTCC